TACTTGGACACAGCTTATTAGGTGTAAAAGTAATGCTCTTCATACTATAAAAGCCTTCATATCCTTAATAGAAAATCAATTTCAAACCAGGTTGAAAACTATCAGGTCTGATAATGGCTTAGAATTCACTAGTACTGAAGCAACATGCTTCTTTCAAGAAAAAGGCATAATACACCAGAAATCTTGTCCTTACACACCACAACAAAATGGGGTTGTAGAAATGAAACACAAGTACCTTCTTGAGACAGCAAGAGCACTGTTATTTCAATCAAAAATACCTGTGAGGTATTGGGGAGAATATGTACTAACTGCCACATATTTGATTAATAGATTACCTACCAAACTACTTCCAGGGAAATCTCCATATGAGTTGTTATATCAGAAGAAACCTTTTTACTCTCATCTTAAAAACTTTGGATGCCTTTGTTTTCCAACTACTTTGAAAACTCATAAAGACAAATTTGAACCAAGAACTGTACCTCACATTTTCATTGGATATCCTTTTAATACAAAAGGGTACAAGGTCTTAAATTTGGCTACCAAGAGAATTCATGTGTCTAGAGATGTTTCTTTTTATGAAACTATTCTTCCTTTTGTCATTGCTCCTCCTGGTTCCAGTTTTAATTCTATACTGCAATGTCTTGTTCATTTCTCTAATAAGTTTCCTTGCATGTCTAGTAAAACAAATACTTTTATTGATGATGAAATGTTGAATGATCATACACTGGATGAAGTCACTTGTGATCAAGTTCCCATACCTGAAAATACACCTATAACTAAATCCACAACATCCCCTACTGGACCAAATATACCTATCACAGCACCTACTGGACCAAATGTATCTATTCTTACACCTAGAAGGACAACTAGATCCTGTCATCCTCCAAGCTACTTAAAAGACTACAACTACACATTACCTAAGCTACAATATACTTCACCTATAAATAATATTGCTGATTCTCAACATTCACTCACATCTTTCACAAAACATCCTGATCATATATGCTTCTCTACATTATGTTCTGAGAGTCAGCAGTTGATTCATAATGTTTCACATGATATTGAACACACATCTTATGAAGAGGCAAACATGAATCCAGCCTGGCAAGCAGCAACGAAACAAGAATTTGATGCATTGCATATTAATAATACTTGAGAGTTGTTTAAGATGCCAAAAGAAAAGAATGTTGTTGGATGTAAATGGGTGTATAAGATTAAACATAAGGCACATGGGAGCATAGAAAGGTTCAAAGCTAGATTGGTGGTAAAGGGATACACTCAACAAGCTGGGATAGACTACAATGAAACCTTCTCACCTGTGGTAAAAATGACTACAGTCAGAACACTAATTTCATTGGCAGTAAAGAAGGGCTGGAACTTGTATCAATTGGATGTCAATAATGCCTTTCTACATGGTGATTTGAATGAAGAAGTATATATGGCATTACCTCCAGGGCTGGTAGTGGACAGCAGTGATATGGTTTGCAAATTGAAGAAGTCCTTATATGGTCTGAAACAAGCAAGTAGACAGTGGTATGAGAAACTGGCAAATAGTCTTTGCTCAAAGGGTTATGTTCATTCAGACAGTGATTACTCACTATTTTACAAGAAAAATAGCAACTCTTTAGTGTTTGTGGTTGTATATTTCGATGACATTATCCTAACTGGTACTGATATGAAAGAGATTGAATCTTTGAAGCTCTTCTTGCATGAGCAATTCAGAATAAAAGATTTAGGAAGATTACATTATTTTCTTGGGTTAGAGATATTGTACAGGCAGGATGGTGTCCTTATTTCACAGAGAAAGTTTACCCTTGATCTCTTGAAGGAATTTGATTTTATGAACTACAAGTCTACTATTTCACCATTGGATCCCACTGAAAAGCTGAGGCTTACAGAAGGAAAACTATTACCAGATCCTACCTACTACAGAAAATTAGTAGGCAAGCTTAATTTTCTTGCTAACACAAGAATGGACATAGCATATAGTGTCCAGCATCTCAGTCAGTTCATGCAATCTCCTAGAGAACCTCACCTAAAGGCAGCTTATCATGTACTCAGATATCTACAACATGATCCTACATTGGGAGTTTTTATCAATAATAGACCTGATATCACCATTAGTGCTTACTGTGACTCAGATTGGGCTTCTTGTCCTGATTCAAGGAAGTCAGTGAGTGGTTATTTGGTCCTCATGGGAGATAGCCCTATTAGTTGGAAGTCTAAGAAACAACCTACAGTGTCATTATCATCAGCAGAAGCTGAATACAGAGCTATAAGGCAAGTAGTAGGAGAAGTGGTGTGGCTAGAAAGACTACTTGGTGAACTCTCAATGACTGTCCCTTTGCCTATATATGTATTTTGCGACAGCCAAGCAGCAGTGCACATTGCTAAGAATCCAGTATTTCATGAACGAACTAAACACATAGAGGTTGATTGTCATTTTGTCAAGACAAAGCTACAATAAGGACTGATTACACTCCAATATGTTTCAACAGATTCTCAGCTGGCTGATGTTTTCACTAAGGCATTGACTGGTATTAAGCATACTAGTTTGTTGAACAAGTTGTCTGTAAGCAGCTTACTTCCAACTTGAGGGGGGGTGATAAAATTAGTTAGTTAGGTAGGTACTATTCATCTTTCAAGTAGTTAGTTAAGTAGTTAGTTATAGTTGGTTCAAGTAGTTGGTTATAGTTAGTTAATGTTCACATGTTTTGCATTTTGGTTGATTTGTTAATCTGTTAACTCTTTAGTGATGTGTATATATACACACACATATGCACTGATTAAGTTTGACGATTCCAAATAGAAAGGCTCCTTCTTCTCTTTCATACTGCCAGGAACTCAACCTCTATTAATGGAGGAATGAGATTATCTTCTAGCTTACATTGCTGGATTTATCAAACTTCCTTGGGCTTCCCTAAAAGAGCAGAGTCCTCTAAATCTATATAAATATCTATTATCCATAGTTGTGAAGTAAACATTTTGTTTAAACATAGATTGTAATCGTCTTTTATATTTTATATTGTACACCCTTGAGTGAACAATTGTAATGAAAAGACAAAGAAAGATCTGAGTGTAGGTCATACAAGTATAGATTATGCCGAAGAAGAAGATCTGATTTGCACATCAAACGGGCTCTTAATCGTAACATTGTATAAGACTCAAGTTCTCATCAAGCTCTTAAGGAAACCCTTGTAACCCTAGGGACTGGACTATGCACCACATCAGTGATCCGAACCAGTACAAAAATATTGTATTATTTACTTACTTCAAGTTATTATTACTGTTTATCTGTTTTACTTACGTGCAGGTGAGTCGACTAACCAGAATAAGAAGTCGACTGAAGGGAGTTTTATTGTTACTGTTTATATGTCTTACTAACGTGCAGGTGAGTCGATTGACAAGAGTAGGAAGTCGACTTAGTTCATCCCCCCCCCCCCCTCTTGACTTTTAGTCAATACTTTAATTTACATGAATTTTTTAATCTATCCAAATATAATGTAAAATTTCTATATTATGAAAAAATTAATCTTTAAAAATTGCCTATTTTAGTAGGAATTTAAGGTCCTCAATCGTGCCATTTTATGTATCATGTGTAAAGAATCTAGCAAATAAATACAATGCATTTTGATAGTTTGACGAATATTTATTTTAGTGGTAAACTAACAGGGAACATAAGTAGCACAAAAGGTGATTGTAAGCTGAAATTCTATTAAATCAATCAAAACTATGAATCATGATGATATGAATATCAAATTACTAATAATCCAACTATTTCGTAATTCAAATGAGTTGTTCTTCTAAGAATATTTGAATTTTGATTATTAGATCTAACATATGCAATGATTTTACTTGATAGACTAAGGTGGAGGTTGTTGTAACTGTAAGTATGTAGTCAAATGTAGTAACTTCACAAGTGATTTATAGTGAGAATAGTGTGTATGTTGTCTTACCCCTTCTTTAAGGAGGTAAACAGGTTCTTTCCAAAGACTGTGCGTAAAGTAAAATATACTAAAATGTAGTCCTGATATATTTACTTATCCCACATCGTCATGTGAATAAGGCATAAAAACAAAGAAACATTATAAAAATTGAGTACATCAAATTAACATACTTAATCAACTGGTTTATTATGGAATCTTGTTGAATTTGAATATTATATTTGTCGCTAGATTTGTAGAGTCAAGATGTTCATTAATAGGGAGTACATGTAAACTCCCTATGAATGAATTTCTTGATTTCTACAAGTCTCACGACTTCTATTAGATCCAAACTACAACTTTTGGGTTCCTTATAGTAAAATTACGCGAGCTAAGGGCTCATTTTGCGAGTCGCCAAGTGCCCTTTGGCGAGCTCAAGCGTGAGAGTCTTTTGTTTTTAAGTTTGGGTTTTAAAAGTCTTTTCAGATTTATTTTAATTCAATATTAAGTCGTTTTAAAATGAACAATAAGTTTAAATGCATGACATGCATATATTAGATTGGTGTAAACATTCGATGTTGGTAAATTTTATGCGTTATTACTTAATTTTCTAGCTATATATACAAATACTAAGTGACAACAATTAACAATTTCAAATACTTTTTAAAAAAAAATAAAAAATCTGGGTGGGTCTCTAAGTTTTATTCATAGCACATAAATTAGGACAAAATGGACAAAATCAATAATCTCTCTATCCCAATTTATGTGACAATTTTCATTTGATGAGTCAAACAGTTTAAATTTGACAGAAAATTTGCGTATGAAATCTTCAATATTTTTGAAATAAAATTTATATATTTAAACTAAAATAAAATACTATAAGTTATAATAAGTAATAATTCAAAATATTTAAAAGATATATAAAAAAATTACGATAAAAATAAATTTATTTAAATATCAAAATTCAAAAAATACAAGGTAAAAATAATACAAAAGAGAGTAATATATACGGGCTCATATATCTAGTATAAGAATAAATTATTAAGTGAAATAAATGAAAAGATAATTAAAACAAGCAAAGTAAAGCAATTTCTCTTCATTCTCAAACATCTCTTTAATTCTACGTCGAAGATTGAGATTCAGATTCAGATTCAGAATCCGGTGATTTCTTGCCGGGCCGTCACCGGCGAATTTCATTGCCCGTCGATTGCAGAATAGTAAGTTCTATGTATCGCATTTAAATAAATCAGCTTTATAGTAATGTCACATCCAGATTTGGTTTTGATTTTGTTGTGATTAAGCATTCAGTTTCCAGAAGTTTGCTTGAATTGAGATAGCGTCCTAATTTATGTGAGATTAGCAAACATATCTGTGAAACCTAACTCATTATAATCGGAATTCAGCTTCTAACCTTTTGGGATTCTTAATTTTCTGTTGAATTTTACATCGGTTTAAGGAAATTGTGGATGTATGTCGTTGGATCCAGTTAAATTTAGTTTTTGAGAGCTTATTATCATCAGCTTTGTGTATTTGTTTAGCGAATCAATACTAAAACAATGATGGATAGGTTAGGAATTTTTGCTTTATGTGCGTAGAAGGATCCATATGGCTTTCTGTTCAACTATATCTTAGACATGTTTAAGTATGACATTTGGTTCAAAACTTGAAGTTGTATTTGATTTCCCTCGGGACCTTCTCAATCCAAAACATCAGTGTTTTTGCACTATCACTATTTACAACAACAACAGCAAAGAATGCTAATTGAACATTAGGATATAAAAAGATATATAGTTCATGTAGTTTTGACAAGTATATGACCAAAATTGATGTGCCTCAATCTCATACCTAGCCTAGCCTAGTCTGTATAATGTATATAACATATTTTATTTTGATCAAACTACAGAAATGTATCAAATAAAACAAAAAAAATAAGTAGATTGTCAAAATCTTATTATTTTCCTTTATGTTTGATGATAAATTTTGTTTAAAAAAGATTTACTAACCTACAACCACGAATATCCACTTTGAAACCCATAGACGAAGAAAACTGTGAAATCCTAGCCGCAAAATGAGACAGAAGGAGTGAAATCGTTTCTGAAAAATAATGAAAATGAGTGGAAAAAAGAGTAATTAAGATTTAGGGATTTAGTCTATGTGATAGTGGAACCCTATTGGCGTACCACGTGGCATCCACATGACATTTAACAACTCCCGTTAATAAGAAGGATATTTTTGACTCAATAATTTGTTGAAAAGGGTAGTTTTGAGCCGAATATAGTTTAAGGGTAAATATGAGCTATTTCTGATAGTTTAAGGGTATTTTTGATCCTTTTCCTTTTAGTCTATGTGGAACCCTATTGGTGTGCAAATGTGACATCCACATGACATTTAACAACTTTCATTAATAAGAAGAGCACGTTTGACCCAATAGTTTAATGGAAATGGTAATTTTGAGCTGAAATATAGTTTAAGCGTAAATATAAGCTATTTCGGATAATTTAAGGTTATTTTTTACCCTTTTCTGTTAAAAGAACTATCTTGATAAATAATGTTCTATTACTCTTGTAACATGTAAGAATTTAAAGTTAAGTTTGAATCCACATAAAATCACATATACCTGCAATTCGCTCCGCCCCACCCCACATAGGTTTAAACCCGCCCCGAGCCATTGTCATCCCTAATATTTGACTTGACATACCTATTAAGAAAATAAGAATTGACATAGCAAATTTACCATTTTACCCCTATTAATTAATAGAATTCCTAAATAAATTTACTCATTAAAGAAGTTCTACCTTTTTAAAAAACTCTCTAAATAAATTGAGGGCATAATAGGTAAAAAAATATTTTATTTTCTTAATTTGTAAAATACTACGAGTAAAATGGACAAGTAAAAAATTAAGATTCGACAAAGTAAAAAGGGACAGAGAGTAATAATTGAACATATAGTAAAAATATATAGTCTTTTGAATCTTGTGGTTTTAAATTTACCATGTAGAATATTATAATTAGAAAACTTACAATATAAAAAAACACGGATTTTTTTGGAGACAAACTATAAAAAAAAAAGTAAATTAGTTAAATTGGATCATATAATATTTATTACTCTCCTTGTTCACTTTTACTTGTCAAATTTAGACTTGACACACACATTGAAAAATGATAATCGACATAGTATCTTACTAGATTATTCCTATTAATTAGTACTTAATACTTTGTATTAGATCTTGAAAAGTAATTTTAGAAATAAATAACTAATGATAAAGGATAAAATATAGAAGAAAATATTTATCTTTTCTTAATATGCTAAAATGACAATAAAAAAGAAAAATCTATTTTTAAAATAACGGATAAGTAAAGTGAACTGTATTAATTAACCAAGAATAAATGCCAAATTTTTATTTTTTAATCTCCAATCCAGTGTCCGCTTCCATATTTGAGCCTGACTAAATCTAAATTCACATCGAAAAGCCCCTTATTATATGTAAAGTACACACTAACAAAGACAATTTTGTACCCAAAAAGATTTAGTGTCTGTTTGGAAAGCCACCTGGTAATTGAAATTTGTGTAATTACTAAGGTAGTAATTACCAACAATCACACATCTGAAAATTAGAGTGTATTTACCCTTGTGAATTACACTCAAACCAAGTAATTACATGATCAACCAAGCAGACCAAACAATGTAATTACACCTAATTATACCAAAATCAATTACCAAAATGATTTTCCAAACAGATTCTTGAATCTGAAACATGTGATTAAGAATAAAGAGCACTTACTACTCCAACATTTATAAGATTTTAGCATCATTATGACAAAAATGAATGAGTTGACACAATATAATTGAGTACTAGTTGAAAGAAACTACATAACAGATATTGGGACATATAGATTAAAAATAGAAACCTAGTACTCTCTTTGAGCAAAAACACCTCAACTGGTATGCCAATATCCACACTATAAATTACTCAAAAGCAATTTGATCTCAGATCTGTGTCTGATTCTCCGAGCCAATTTTTGCTGAGGTAAGCCAATGAATGCACAATAAAGCGGTGGAAAATTGCTCACTTGCACGTCTCTTCTTCTTCAATCGGTGTAAATTTTGCATTTTCTGTAATTGATTTTGCTTCATTTTGTCGTCTTGTTGAATACTTCTTTCTAGTCAGTACGCAAAGTGCCACCGCCCATTGTGTTCTACAAAGTAGTACAGCTATATATTGCGATTCTATAATTTGATTTGTTTCATTCAGTTTTGTGAACTTTTGTATTGAATTTTATTTTGGTTTTATCAAGTGTAGCTTGATAAGGTTGAATGTTTAGCTGTTAAATACTGTGAAGAGTTGGGGAGAAGTATAGAAAGATCAAAAATGGCTGCAAGGAAAGCTGGTTTAATTGCTCTGTTTGATGTTGATGGGACTCTTACCGCACCCAGAAAGGTATAGTATTGATTGCTCCTGCTTGTATTTGCTGTTTAAGTTTGATTGTTCACCTTGTTTCTGTTACTAGGGGTGTGTTGGGTATGCAAGTAAAGAAATTTTATTCTAAAAATATTTGTATATAATCGAAGCAAGATGAGGATGGGGGTTGTGGGGTCGGGATAGGGGTACAGAGGTGGGATGATGATAAAGTGTGTAGGAGGGCAAAATCAATGTGGAATGCTAATTCAAGAACTTGTTTTACCTACTTCTATTAGGCTATTCATTTTCCTCATTTTTAAGGAACTTGTTTTTCTAAAGAAAATATTTTTCAATTTTTTTTAGATAAGGAACATGAGAAAATCAGATCCATAATGAGAACACCTTTTTGTAGATTAATTTGACTTTATGGACAATTGCATCCTTGATGGGCTTTTATAGAGCAGAATGGTATAGATGATTTGTACATTTAGTAGCTGAATCCAACCTGTTTGAGATTGAGGTGTTGTTGAATGAATGATTCAGTGTATTTTCAAAATATTGTCATGATTTTTATTGTTCTGATTCTTATTTCTTCCTTTAATTTTATAGTAAATTTACCATTAGTTACATTTAATCACACCCATAACGATAATGATTTTCTTCTTTGGAAAATTTGCATAAAAATTTCAGGAATCTACTCCACAAATGTTGAAATTCATGCAGGAACTTAGAAAGGTAGATGATTCTTTTGCCATATTTTCTTTTATTTCTTTTTTCCACATATATATTATTTTTCCTCTCAAGGATTCTTTGGTTTAACAATTTTGTCGACTTGCAGGTTGTTACTGTTGGAGTTGTTGGAGGTTCTGACCTTGTAAAGATATCAGAACAGCTTGGCAATACAGGTTAGCTTAAGTAGCATATATACTAAAGTTGGAGTTGGGATGATGAAAGGTGTGCTACATCAACTTATTAGAGCTCATGTTTCTAGCTCAGTATCTGAAATTCCTCGCAGTATTAGGCAAGAGTAGAAGTGTAGAACTATGAGTTCACTGGCAACCAAGAGCACTGAACTGTGTTTTGATTTGAAATATTAAAGGACCTTTCCACTAGAAAGGCATACATAGTCTTATGGTTATAGCTCCATGTTAGTTGTTGAAATGTACCTTTTTCTACCGCAACTCTAGTGCTAAACAATTTTTGAGGTCATGCATGTCCCTTGGTTCCCAATATGTGACTATTAACTGATCTATCTAAAAGAATTTCTTGAGAATGATGACACTTTGATCTTTCTAATATTTGTGATGCAGTTACAAAGGACTACGATTATGTTTTCTCTGAAAATGGCCTTGTAGCACATAAAGATGGCAAGCTTATTGGGAAACAGGTAATTTTAATGACTAGAATTTGATATTGTATCTGTATAATATTACTTGTGAGTGCATATTCATTATGTGACAAAACAAAATCTTTGGGTATTGTCTTTATCAACTCGAAACAACATCTTTGTTGCCACCACTTAAGCATTTTGTACCAAGTTAAAACTAAATAAAGTCTCATGAAAATTTGAACTACCTAACAACTTGAAGAAATTTTCTTTCTACCCATCTTCAATGAGCATCGCTTCTCTCGTTCTCCTTAGTTGTTCATTAGCAGGGTGATTTGTTTTGAAATGACATAACTCTTGGTGTGCGTGCAGAGCTTAAAGTCATATCTTGGAGACGAGAAGCTCAAGGTTAGTCAATACGTTTTTCTTATTTAACGAGAAAATGTTTTATTTTTGTTATAGTGCAAAGAGGGGAAGCCTACCCAACCAAGTGTAGTTCGTTATAGGCCTGGTGATCCTTCTAAATATTTGTTGTTTAGCTTAAGAAAAATAATTGTGTTGTAGTGTTAAATTACTATGTAATTTGTACTTCATTGAAAACTGCTCTGACGTGGTATTTCGTAAGTTTTCGAAGCAGTGTTTATAATAGTTAACAAAAATCTGAAAATCAAGTTATTACACATTCCATGAAGAGTTAATTGTGTATTTTTGCTGCATATAATTGGGTGAGAATTTATGTTTATTGCTTAGGTTCACCCAATTGAAATAGAAATGAGTTTATATGTAGATGGCCAAGAAATATTTTGATGGGATGCAAATTATATGCAGGAATTTATTAACTTTACCCTCCATTACATTGCTGACTTGGATATTCCAATAAAGAGGTGAGCATATCAAAGTCTGTGTTGCTTGGATCCTCCAAAAATGACACACACCCGACAACATTTTGAAGGATCCAAGGTTGAATTATCTACTTCTTAATCATTCTTCTTTGCAGAGGAACATTCATTGAGTTCAGAAGTGGCATGCTAAATGTGTCGCCTATTGGGAGAAACTGTAGTCAAGAAGAAAGAGATGAATTTGAAAAGTATGACAAGGTATAGATAACTGCTCTAGTATTGCATATATCTTTTGCAGTAACATACCTCCTACAGATTCTTTTTCTCTGTGATTTAAAGACAATTGAAACTATAATCAGGTACAGAAGATACGCGAAACAATGGTATCAGTGCTTAGAGAAAAGTTTGCACATTTTAATCTCACCTTCTCCATTGGAGGCCAAATTAGTTTTGATGTGAGCATCTTTAAACCTTTGCTTGTGCACATTGACCGCTGAATGTTTTAAGTATATTATTGACATATGATTTGGGGATCTTGGTCATGACAGGTTTTCCCCCAAGGCTGGGACAAGACTTATTGTTTGAGATACCTTGAAGAATTTAACGAAATTCACTTTTTTGGAGACAAAACATACAAGGTAATCTTTAGTTATTGACGTGCTTGAAGCTTTCTTTTCGTGTCCGGGCTGATATAAGAGTCGTGTTTTTTACTTGAACAGGGAGGAAATGACCATGAGATCTACGAGTCTGAGAGAACCGTGGGTCACACAGGTCCGCCTAAAACTTCATTCTTTTGATGTTTGAATATAGTTATTCTCTTGCGTAATTACTTGAGGAATCACATTTAACCTGTTATTTGCTTCCTTTTCTCTTTTTCCAGTTACTAGCCCTGAGGAGACATTGAAACAATGTTCTGTCCTATTCCTTGGCAAGGATAATGGAAGTTCTTGAGCTTGTTGCAGTTTTTCAGTACACGATTGTATTCTATGCACAACAGAAATGAATAATTGAAATAATTCTTGTTTTGAATTTTGTCATCAAAATTATAATGATATTACTACTACTCTTGAAATCCAAACTTTACATCCAAATAGATAGCTCAACAATATAATTTTTTTTTTACTGATAAATGATGCAACACCTAGAATTTAAGTAAGAACAGTCCCTTAATAACTTCTTTATCATGGAAAGAACTTATTCCATTTTGCTTAAGACATATTTGGTTAGCTAGAAATAACTCTCTTAATAAGAAGAAGGCACCATTTCAATACTTATGACACCATCACAAAAGCTACTGAATATGCCCTGTTAATTGCTAAGAAAGTAGTTTGTATAAAGCATATCTATTAACCTACAGTGGGAACCTTCATTACTTGGCCATTACAAACTCAATATTAGCTCTTTTGCAAGGGCTTAAGATTGCAAAGGATAACAACTTGATACCTTTGGACATCTCCACAGACTCAATCAAGATAATAAATTTTATTAACAATGACTACGAATCTTATAGGTCTATAATTCATGAATGCAGGTCATTGATGTAAGTATTGAGAGATAAACACTTGTATACCTATAGAGAGGAGTTTCAACCAAACACACCGCGACTAACTCTAGCCATGAACTTGACTTCACAAAGATTATAAGTGAAATGAGCTATGTTCCTTTATAGGATGGTAATAGATCTTCCAATGTTTTGACACAAGACACTAAACTCAAATGACAACTTCAAACTCAATCAAGCTCCTTATTGTTGATATAAGTTTGTTCTTTCTTGAGAAAAATAGATTTTTCTTTGAATATTCTTGATTACAATAGTTAGTTGTTTCTTGTCAAAGTGTTTAATGTAAATCATAGGTAAAAACAACCTAGATAACATGTTATTGGCTGAGAACTTTGTGCCTCTGTTGTCGTGTCCACCTACTACAACAGGTATGATAGCTTTACAAATGCACTCTATTGACTTGTCTTGAACAATCACCATTCAAAGGATCAAGTCTCCTTACCAAATTTCATTTCTTCGTAGTTTGTTTAATAATCAAAACATAAATTTGCAACAATCACCTTTAGTACGACTTGATCCTATTTTCAACCTCTAATATACATTTGTTACTATTTCTTCCTCTTTTTATTTTCAGATTTTAATCAAAAAGTTTACTAACTTAATTTTAGTACAAGTTAAAATTTACGGCATATAGAGGAACTTCAATGTTCTTGTGACATGAAATAGATGAAAGTACAATTTGTGTAACAACATTAAATTATTGTTTATGCTTGAACATTACAATATTGAATCATGAAAAATAAAAGACATAAAAGGTAGCAATATAGTTTGCAATATTCTTTAGTTTGTTACAATTGAAAGAACTTTTATAGAACAAAGACTCAATTAAACTTAAAACTTTATGTCTTATGAGAGTACAACTCTTGAAGAAAAAACGTTGAAATTGTTCTAAACAAACTTAAATATTTAACTAGGGGCTTGTGGACTCTGAAGAAATTTTATTTAGATCTATATCTATTGAATTTTCACGCAATCTTTTGCCCCTGACATTACCTGTAGTTGAGCAACAATCGTGTGGTGGTGGCAGTTGTGCTTGGGGCATCGCGATCGCGGATCTTGTTTGTTGGTCTAATGGTAAACCTTTTGATGACGTTATACCTAACATGTTAAAACTTCGTAACAGAAATATTGCTTGTTGATTCATTGAGTGAGATTGAAAATGACTCATAAATTCTTCATGAGTGTCACCGATTTGAGTACATATAGGGCAACGAAGAAGAGTAGGGTGAGAACTCAAAGTTCGAAAGAACATAATAGTATATGCATCTGCGTTAGACATGTTAATGCATGTAATGAAAAAAAATTCTAATATTTGTTAAAGAGATATTGAATTTGCCTTTTGATTTATTCAAAAAGGAAAAATGATACAGAGTAATGCACCTCAATTCTACGAAATATATGAAGAATTTATAGGTCAGTATGATTTTCAGATGCTAGATGTGAACCCCGCTCATACCAATATATATAGTAAATTTATTAAAATAATAATATTAAGGTTAGTATGACCAAAACACAAATAATATTTAAAGACAAAAATTGAGTTTTTTCTATATGGGGATTTTTTCCCTTTTTGTTTTTAATGTTTTTTTTCTAGCTAACTAAATTTATTAAACATATGTAGTGAAAAGGGTCATAGAAAAAATAGACAGAAATTTTAAAAAATCATCAGTGCTAAAAATAATATATATAATATTTTTTTTTAATAACAGAGACCAAAAATGAAATGTAGGACTAGTTAGTTTAATAATATGTTTTTGGTTAGTCTTTTCTTTTCCTATGTAAATGAAGAAAATTGGAAATATTGGAAATTGATTACAAACTACTATATTTTGGTTATTATTTTATTTTCTTTTCATAAGAAAAAAATAGTTTAGATCTTGATTTTATAAGCTAGATATCAAACTAATTAATTTTATAAAAATGTACTAAATTTGGCTAAAAATAAGTTATTCAGAACTACATAAATTAAATATAGTATGTTATGATCAAAAATTTATCGGTGACAGTCAAGAGGCAATATTAGATTTTCTGACTATATGGTCAGAAATATAAGAGGAAATATTTAGATTTTGTAGCTAGATTTTCAATTTCTTTTTAAAATGTACAACATTTGATTTAAAGTAAAGAATTAATTTTAAAATTTAAAAGTAAATAGTATAAAGTAATTTATTATGATAAGTTTTTCATTTTTATCCCGTAGGGAAAAATAATTTAGAAAAAAAAAAGTGGAGAACTGAATTTAAAAGTAAATATCATAACATATAGTTTATTATGGTTCATTTTTCATTTTTATCTAGAAAGAAAAATAATTTAAATCTTAAAGTAATGCATTAGATTTAAATTTAATGGTCAGTCTTACATTTTTATTTTGTAAAAGAAAAATAATTTAGATCTTAAATTTTAAAAAATAGAATTTAATATTTAAAAGTAAATATCATAACATAGTTTTTTTATGGCCAGTCTTTCATTTTTATTCTAAAAAGGAAAAATCGTTTAGATCTTAAAGTAAAGATTTAAATTTAAACTTAAAAGTAAATATTATAAAATAGTTTAATATGGCCAGTCTTTCATTTTTATTCTATATAAGAAAAATTATTTAGATTTTAAAATAAGGAATTAAATTTAAATTCTAAAAATAAATATCATAACATAATTTATTATGGTCGCTCTTTCATTTTTATTCTGTAAAAAATAATAATTTAGATCTTCAAATAAAGAATTGAATTTAAATTAAAAGTAAATATGATAACATAGTTTATTATGATCAGTCTTCCATTTTTATTTAGATTTTTAAGTAAATGATTGAATTTTATATTAAAAGTAAGATATCATAACACAGTTTATTATGGCCAGTCATTCATTTTTATTCTATAAAAGAAAATTAATTTAGAACTTAAAAGTAAAGAATTAAATTTAAATTTAAATTTAAAAGTAATACCATAAAATAGTTTATTCCAATCAATCTTTCATTTTTATTCTATAAAAGAAAATTATTTTAAAACTTAAAAGTAAAGAATTAAATTTAAATTTAAAAGTAATACCATAAAATAGTTTATTCCAATCAATCTTTCATTTTTATTCTATAAAAGAAAGATAACTTCGATCTTAAAGTAAGGAGTTGAATTTAAATTTTAAAAACAAAATATCATAACAATTTATCATTGTCAATCTTTAAAAGAAAAATAATTCAAATCTTAAAATAAATAATTGAATTTAATTTAAAAGTAAATATATTAATATAGTTAATTATGGTTTGTCTTTCATTTTTATTTTGTAAAAATAAAAATAATTTAGATCTTAAAGTAAATAACGAGATTTAAATTTAAAATTATATATCATAACATAGTTTATTATGGTAAGTCTTTCCTTTTTATTCTATAAAAGAAAAATATTTTATATCTTAAAGGTGAATTTAAAAGTAAATATCACAACATAGTTTATTATGGTCAGTTTTTCATTTGTATTTGTAAAACAAAAATAATTTAGATCTTAAAGTAAAGGACTGAATTTATATATAAAAAAGTAGATATTATAACATAGTTTATTATGACCAGTCTGTCATTTTTATTTTGTAAAAAAAAAATTTAAATGATCTTAAAGTAAAGAAATGAATTTAAAATTTAAAAATAAATATTTTAACAGTGTCTAATCTTTCACTTTTATTCAATAAGAGAAAAACAATTTAGATCTTAAAGTAAATAATTGAATTTAAATTTAAAAATAATTCTCTTAACATAGTTTATTAGCCAATCTAATAATTTAAATTTTAATGTAAAGAATTCAATTTAAAACTTAAAAGTAAATATTATATCATAGTTTATTATAGTCGGTCTCTCATTTTTATCGAGTAAAAAGATTACCTAAAGAATTAAAATTTAAAAGTAAATATCATGACAATTTATTACAGCGAGCCTTTCATTTTTATTTTATAAAAAATAATTTAGATATTAAATGTAAGGAATTTTATTTAAAATTTTAAAGTAAATATCATAACATAATTATATTTTGATTAAACTATAGGAATGTATCATACAAAAAGTGTCATGTGAACAGTTATTATTGAACTAGATATTGGAGTCCGTCCCAATATATGATATTAGTGAAAATTACACAAGTGAAGGCGTTTTATTTAATAATTGCCACTTTTAAGTATAATTTTAATTTATTATTATTTTTGTCAACTTTTAGCAATATATACTTAAAATAATTTTAAAATAACTTTAATACATGTTTAATACAACACTAATTCATAATGCAAACTTCAGTTTAAATTTTTCTTAAAATTTACATATGTCATACAAATGAATTATAACTATTTTTAATATACATTTAATATTTTTTTTTCTCACCACTTATAATTTTTATATAATATAACTGAATTATATGTAGAATTTAACACACATTGTGTAATGATATAAACATAGAAAATTTCATAACATTCATACATAATACTAGACATGCGTTAATACTTAATTAGAAGACAAAAAATGATCTGAATTTTTATAGTA